TTGTTTTCTTTATGCTCCTACTAAATCTGGAACCATAGGCTGAATACAGTATAACTTATATGGCTTCTTTCTCTGTTATTGAGGTAAGTACCTGAAGGCTGTGGGGTTCTTTCTTTTTTTTTGAGGCAGAGTTTCACTATGTTGCCTCAGTAGAGTGCTGGCATCACAGCTCACAGCAGCCTCAAACTCTTGGGCTTAAGTGATTCTCTTGCCTCTGCCTCCCAGGTAGGTGGGACTGCAGGTGCCTGACACAATGCCCAGCTATTTTTTGGTTACAGTTGCCATTGTTGTTTAGCAGGCCTGGGCTAGACTCCAACCCCCCAGCCTCTGTGTAAGTGGCTGGTGCCCTACTTACCGCGCTACAGGTCTTGAGCCCCTTTTTTTTTTTTTTTTTTTTGAGATGGTCTCACTGTGTCACCCTGGGTAGAGTGCCATGGTGCCATTACAGCTCTCAGGAACTTCAAACTCCTGGTTAAGGTGATCTTCCTATCTCAGCCTCTTGAGTAGCTGGGACTACAGGTGCCCACCACCATACACCGCTAGTTTTTTTATTTTTGGTAGAGACAGGGTCTTGCTTGTGATCAAGCTGGTCTTGAACTCCTGAGCTCAGGCAATCTATCCGCCTTGGCTTCTTGAGTGCTGGGATAACAGGCATGAGCCACCATGCCCAGTCTCTCTCTCTCTTTTTGAATTGGGCTCAAATAATCCTCCCACTAAATTTAGCCTCCTGAGTAACTTGGACTACAGGCACATGCCACTGAACCTGGTTGACTTTAAAAAAAATAATTATCTTAGAAATGAGCCCTGCCGTTCTGCTAAGACTAGTCTTAAATGCCTAGTCTCAAAGTGATCCTCCTGTAGTAGTTACTATTTGCAGGCATGTGCCCCCAGGCTTAGCTTGCATGGAGTTCTTTTGGTTGTATTCTTTGGTACCTAATATAGCATCAGTATATTCTAGGCCATAGTTTGGTAAATTCTTTCTTGTACTGTAAAGGGAGAAATAATAAGTACTCTAGATATTTAAATACATTTGTGAGCTGTATGATTTCTCTCACAGCTGCTCAGCTATGCTGTTGTTAGGATAGAAGCAGCCATAGACAGTATGTAAGTAAATGAGCATGGCCGTATTCCATTACACTTTTATTTATAGAAACAGGCAGCAAGCTGGATTTGGCTCAGATATTGGTTAAATAATTTGACTTCTTGCATATTAAATGGCAACAGGATAACCAACTAGGTGAGTTGGAAATATGGCACTGAAAGAGAAGGCAGCCATAAAATGTGTAATTAGCAGCTGATGGTATCTAAAAGTATTTATGAGGTCACCAAAGGACTTACATTGAGAGTAGTTGTGTATATGTATGTGTATATTTTTTAATGCTTAAGATATAGGAATGGTAGATTTTGAGTAGTAATCCTTAGGGTGGGGAATATTTGTTATTTATCCTGATGTACATACATAAATAATAACTGTTCATTAGATGTTTTTTGAAGGAATGTAATTAATTAATAGGAGGTCTTTCTATTATATGAATCAGAGATAGTCTCTGATTCACAGAAGAATTATGTCTAAAAAGTTTACTTGAAAACAGGGTATTTGAAACATAAGGCACATTTATCCATAGGCAATGTGTTCAGTTTCTGAGCTAATATATATAATATAAAACTGAAGTTGATTCATAATGCTGTTGAAGTATAATGTTTTAATAATTCTGTTCGAACTACTGTGGCCAATGATTTTCGTTAGAAAATTGTGTTCAGAATGAGATTTGGGTCACCAGAAACTTAGTTTTACCTAGTATAGCCTTAGCAGGAATGTCGAGATTTTGCATTCTTCACGTGTGAGGGTAGAGGAATTGGTGCTATCCCAGTTTCAAGCCATTGCTGTTGTTTTCTGTAGACTCAAAGATTGAGGATAGACTATATGTGTGAGTGAAAGTTAGGTGGTGAGACATAGAAGACAGGCCTCTGGGGAGCCTAGAAATGTGGGGCTGGGGAGCAGAGAGACCTGGGGACAGTGTTCATTCTCCAGGCAGCTTGTGGATTCTACCCGTTCTTCTCCCTTAGGGAGTCCCGAGTGCTGGAGGATCTCTTGGCCTGATGTGGAGCAGAACCTTACCCTGCACCTGCTCACCTGCGAGTCTGTGCTTGGTCCCTTAGTCCACCATCCTTGAAACAAACACAAGTCATTCCTTTTTTCTCATTTAAAAATAATTGGTCAATTATTATATGCCATCATTAGGGAATATATAGATGATAAAACCTGAAGTGTAGCTATTAACTTTAAAGATCCTGGATTGATATTTATGGATAATTTTCTTTTTATAACAAATATAGAAAAGGCCCCTTTCTCCCGCCTTTCTTTCCTTCCTTCCTCCCCGTTTGCTCCCTCCTGCCCCTCTCTCTCATTCCTTTTCTTTCTTTTTCTTCTTTCCCTCCACTTAGAATGAATTGGGAAAGAGCCTCTAAAAGGACAATGGTGGGTCTTTGAATTAAAAAGAACTGAAATAAGATTCATCAGTATTTAAGGAAAAAACCTTCGTATGAACATTTGTCTCAGTTTTACTATCAACTTAGCTCTTAAAGTAGTTTTTTAGTTTGCTCCATAGGCTGCAGTCCTGTAGTGGCCCATCCAGCACTTTCTCCATTAGCTCATCTCGAACAGTGCAGGGTGCTGTGTCAAGCATTCTGCTGCTTCTGTAGATTCATAATTAAATCATAATTCTAATTGACTTGAGAAGACATTAGATGTGTGTGGGGTTCTTAGGATCCGTTGCATTTCACATTACTTAGAAACTGTCCTTTTGTCCTTTAAGTCTGTGACATTATGATTATCTTCATGTGTAGCACAACTTGTCTTTGAACAACCGAGATTCTTAAATTTAACTTTTTCCTCCACCCCAGGAGTCAGAGATGGAAACAGAAGAAGAGGTTGACATTTTAATGAGCAGTGATATTTACTCTGCGACTTTATCAACCAAGTCGATTTCTTTCACACGCGCCCAAACAGGATGGCTTTTTCGGGAAGATAAAACAGTAGGTGCAAGTCTAATCTAGATTCTCAAACTAAACTGTTTGATATTTAATGTTGCCAAAAGAATATTATGAAAATGCAGGAAGAAGTATCTTACTGTGGTTTCCAAGTAGTTTATTCTCTTTCTTGAATCCAGATAGGAAATTATAATGGTTGGTTACAGAGTCAGAATGTATTCTCTGAGAAGCCAGGAGAGAAAGCTGAGCTCATTTGAATTCTATGTTGGGAAAGATTCTTGTTGCTAGCTGCCTTGTTATTATATAGTATAATGTTCTCACTTGATTCCATTATACTTCTAATGTTTTATTCCATAAACAGGCTACAAAGAGGGACACACTTGAATTCATTTTTTTCCTTGCTTTGAGACTTCTAAGTCATTTACTTAACTCAGTTTGAATCACTATTCTGTATACACATATATGACTAAATAAGCTTACATTTCTACAATACTATTATTAGATCAAATCTCAGTGGACGTTTCCCCATTAATATATTAGAAATAATTTCCATAATTCCCAACCTTTCTGTCAATAAAAGGTTATATGAGACTATTAAAAAATATACTGAAAAATTTTGAATGATATATATGAAGAAGCATTTCTATATAATGTAAATTTAAGAATAAGTAACCATAGGTGGGTGTTGTGGCAGACACCTATAGTCCCAGCTACTTGGGAGGCTGAGGCAAGAGAATTGCTTAAGCTCAAAGAGTTTGAGGTTGCTGTGAGCTGTGACGCCATGGCACTCTACTGAGAGCAACATAGATTCTGTCTCCAAAAAAAGGAATAAGTAACCACATGAGGGTAAGAGTCAAGATTTACTGCTATTAAAAATTGTGTATAGTAGAAATGAATATATTCTCTTTGGAGAAAGAAAAATAGAGCCTGTATTAGTCAGGTTCTCTGAGAAACAAAAGTATGGAGAGGAGGGTAAGGGAGAGGAAAAGAGAAAAGGAAAAGGGAGAGGAGAAGGGAAAAACTGATTGGTTTTAAGGAATGGCTTCTGTGATTGTAGGAGCTGGCAAATCTGAAATGTGCAGAGCAGTCCATAGGTGGAAATTCAGAGAAGAGTTGACATGTGGTCTTGAGCCAGAAATATACAGGCTGGAAACTCAGGCAGGGTTTCTATATTACAGTTATGATTGCTTTTTCTTCTGGAAATCTCTATTCTTAAGGCCTTTATCTAATTGGATGAGGCCCACATCATGGAGGGTGATCTGTTTCACACAGAGTCCACTATTTAAGTGTAAATTGTATCTGAAAAATAACTTCCCAGCAACATTTACACTGTTGTTTAACCAGACACCTGGACACCACAGTCTAGCCAAGTTAACATATAAAATTAACCATCGTACAACTTACCCATACAGCTGGAAGTTCCTATTGACCACTGCCTGCAGTTCCAGAGCTCCTTGCAGAGGCTTCTCTGTTTACATCCTCCAGACCTTTTTTATGCTTTCATACATAAATATGTATCCATAGTAATATTATCGATGTGTATTTTTTCATAAAGTGTCATGTTCTACTTGTTGGCTTTTTTACTTTCTGGTGTGTCCTAGAAGCCTTCTCTTAGCAGTACATACAGTGTTACTTGATTCTTTTTAGCAACTGTGTAACATTCATTACTGTGGATAGACTGTAACTTATTCAGTCTTATTTTGGGGCACTTAGATGAACAGACACATTTGTGTCCAGTTTTCTGCCATTATAAAGGCTGCCATGTTTATCATCTTTTAACACGCCTTTGTGTTTTCTGTTGTAGATGGCAAGAAATTGAATAACTGGATTATGGGAATATACACTTCAAATTTTTATTGACATGATAATTTAATAATTGCATTTTAATTGTAAGGTTTCAAAACCATCATACAACTTACCCATACAGCTAAAAGTTCCCCTTGACCACTGCCCACAATTCCAGAGCTCCTTGCAGAGGTGTCTCAGTTACATCCTCCAGAACTCATAATAATTACCACCTGAGTATTTCCCAGCCACAGAAGTTCACACTATGAAATCTAGGGTCAGCAGTTTCTCTCTATAACCCTGTTTGGCAACAAATGGCATTATAGGATTCCCACTTGTGAGATCCTACATGCAATCCATTTGTTGGCTTTTAAAGTCTTATCTGTACTCTGTTCTTCTGGACAGCATTAGCTGGATCACTTCAAGAGAAGATAAAAATTGAAACTGCTATTCATCTAGTGCTACTGCTAAGAGGTTAAAGTTCTTGAACAGCGTCTAGGTGATCTTCTTAAATCTTTAACAGGTAAGGAGGGAGTCAGTCATGCTTATGGTTCCCATTTTGTAGGTAGAAATAGTACAGAATGCTTTGCTTTCTGGTGAATGGTAAGGAAGCCACTGAAAGAAAAGTGAGTCTGGAAACAAGTCTAAATGTGTAGTGGTAGAATGCAGGAAGCCAGCATCAGGGCAGAGTCCAAGGGACTGGCATGCAGGGAGATGTGGGAAATTTTCAGTAAGATACTGATTCATTTTTTTGAGTAAGGTATTTTACACTCCATCTACCTATGGGTCTGAAAAAGGTAAAGGTTAATGTTGAGTGACTGGGAAGACTTCACTGAAGGAAAGTATCGACTCCTTTCTTGATGTCCATTACACTACTTAATTTTCTCTAAAACTCTTAATTGTTTCAAAGAGCAAAACTATTCTCTTGTTCTTTGTTGAAAGCAGCAGCAGCAGCTATAACTTGATGTTTGACCTCCTTATAGGGTAGAGAATTTGAGCAGGTCATTCCTGTGTGACTTGAACTATTTATTTCTTTTTATTCTATTTTTTCTATCTATAAAATGGGAACAGTGTTATCCCTGACCCCTCCTTGTTACTTAGGATATGACTGTCAGCTTAATGAAATTTTTATATAGCTTTGTGCTACTTGGGAATAGAATCTAAAGGAATGTGGTATTTTTATTTAGATTTAACTCATTTGCAGATTAACTACCATGTATTTTTGTGTTTTAAATATTTCTTTCTCAATTTGAAATGTATAATTTTATATGTTTTAACTTAATAGAATATATGAGATAATTAGACAATTCCAATTACCAAAGTAATATTTATTTTCATTTACATGTCAACATGTTTGTGGAAAAATATATTACCTCAAAACTTTTTTTTCATCTGAAAAATCTTACTGTAAGTTTTATTATTTTGAAATATTTTATTTTGTTTTAGGAAAGAGTAGGAAACTTTTTGGCAGACTTTTATCTGGTGAATGGACTTGTTTTGGAATCAAGGAAAAGAAGAGAACATCTCAGTGAAGAGGATATTCTTCGAAATAAAGCCATCATGGAGAGTTTAAGTAAAGGTGGAAACATAATGGAGCAGAATTTTGAGGTACAACTTCTACTTCTGATTCATAGCTTTCCAAAGAGAGAGGAGATTGACTTCATTCTTGGTGGGATTTAGCAAGTTTATATAAATACACTCACAGCTTTTGTTTACTGTGAGTTACCCTTTTCCTGTGAATCTTCATTTTCTTGATGTCATCATGAAGAAGAAAAAGAAAAAAATGGCCTTTTGTGATTCTGTACTTGGTCTTTGAACATCTGTTAATAGATAGATTAAAGTCATTTCATAAGCATGAAACCCAGTGTTAATTTTTAATCCATGTCCCTTACACATATTCTTCCTGCTTCCCTAACCAAAATCTAACTGCTCTGAGTGCCCACCCACAGATCCCTTTCTACCTGAGATGTCATCTCTCGTTACGCCTTCCTGTAATTCTTTTTATTTAGCATGTATTTATTGAAAGCATATTATATGTAAGGAATGTGTGACAGGAAGAAGGGGGGCGGAATTAGGCAAGGTAAAGATACATGAGACGTGGCAATTGATCTTACGATCTTATTCCCTTATGAGGTGAATCTGTTCCTAAGTTTATTTTTTATCTTGACCATTTTAGACTTGCAGAAAGGTACTAGAAGAGTATGAAGAATTCCTTGAAATCTTTCATCAAGATTCCCCCAAATGTTGACATTTTGCTACATTTGTATAGCACTATTTTTCAAACTGCAGTATAGGGACCCCTTAGTAGATAATAAAATTCATTTAGTGGATTATGAACACTTTAAAAAAAATTAATACCTAATTAAAAATGATAGAGAAGAGTCAGAACACATCAGACATAATGAGGGTCATTACTGCTTCCTGAAACAGCAGTTTCAGGACTGTACATGTCATATGAATGTGTATATGTGTGAGTACTAGGTTGTAGTGTGAAGATTAAAAGCTATTATAAGGAGGCTTGAATGCTTTCAGTGTTCAGTTCCTCTGCTGTGGTAGTGTGCCAGATCAGTGTTATAGTGCTGGTTAGACTTTCCAGAGTTGTGCACCAGGTTCCAACCAATTCATGGTAATACTATGTATGCCAGGAAAATATTTTAATGTTTGGTAGTTTCTCATGTTGAGTGCAAGAGCCATAGTATAGTTAAATAAACTATGTAACATATTTAAGTTAAAATCATGATCATGCCAGTTTAGCGTAATCCTGTCTCCTCTGGCCCATTCTGTTCATGTTCCACGTTTTATTTCTGACCTTGAGTAAGGCCTTAATAGACTTCATCTTCCAGATGTCTCCTGGTTTTTATTGATCCTTGGTCAATAGGAGAAATAGAGGCTGGACACGGTGGTTTATGCCTGTAATCGTAGCACTCTGAGAGGTCAAGGCTGGAGGATCACTTGAACTCAGGAGTTCAAGACCAGCCTGAACAAGTGCAAGATCCCATATCTACTAAAAATAGAAAAATTAGGTGGGCATTATTGTAGTTGCCTGTAGTCCCAGCTACTTTGGAGGCTGAGAGAACAGGATTGCTTGAGGCCAGGAATTTGAGGTTGCTTTGAAGCTGACACCATGGTGCTCTAGCCTGGGACAATAGAATGAGACTATGTGTCAAAAAAAGGCTTGGGTTTTTTTTAAATTAAACTTTGTGTTTGGAAATAATTGTGAAGTCACATACAATGAATATGGGAGGGCGAGGCAGGTAGATTGCTTGAGTTCAGGAGTTCTAGACCAGCCTGAGCAAGAGCCAGACACCATCTCTACTAAATATAGAAAAATTAGCCAGGTGTTGTGGCTGGGCCCTGCCTCTTGGCCACAAAGAAGATTGCTCAAGCCCAGGAATTTGAGGTTGCTGTGAACTATGACTCCATGGCCCTCTATCCAGGGTGACAGAGTGAGACTCTGTCTCAAAAAACAAAACAAAACAAAAAACAAACAAACAAAAAAAGATAAAAACAAAGAAATTTTGTGTATATCTCACTCAGTCTCCCCTAATGGATCCACCTTACCAAACTAGTACAGTATCACAGCCAGGGTATTGGCATCTACAGCAACACCACAGCATCCCCACGTTCCTCATTTCTAGGCATATCTGCTGAAGCTTCTCTCCCTCTCTTAACCCCTACCCATGACAGCTACTAGTCTCTTTTTCTAATTATATGTTATGTAGCCTTTTGAAATTGGCCTTTCCCCCCCTTCAGCCTAATTCCCTGGTGATTTCATTCAAGTTGTGGGTATCAATAGTTTCTTTCTCTTATTGCTGAATAGTATTCCATGCTATTCATGTACCACAGTTGTTAACCATTCACTCATTTAGGAACATCTGGATTGTTTTTAATTTGGGGGAAATTATGAATTAAGCTGCAATAACATTCATGTATAGGTTTTTGTGTGAACGTAAGTCTTCATTTCTCTGGGATAAATGCCCAAGAGTGCAGTTGCTGTGTCAGATGGTAGTTAAATGTTTAGTTTTTATAAGAGACTGCCAAAATGTTTTCCAGTTTACATTCTCACCAACGGTGTATGCTTGACCAGGTTTTTCTACATACTTTGCCAAGCTTTGGTGTTGTCGTTATTTTCTCTTTCACCCATTCTGCTAGTGGATAATGTTCCTCATTGTGAACAGAACTGAGTTTCCATAACGGCCAATCATATTGGGTATTAGTCTTTCACGGGCCTGTTTGCCGTCTGTACATCCTCTTCAGTAACATGTCTCTTCCTGTCTTTTGCCCTTTTTCTAATTGGATTGTCTATTTTTATTACTGTTGGGTTTTCAGAGGTCTTTTAATATTCTGGATGCTTGTTGTTTGTCAGACATGTGTTTTGCAGATATTTCCTCCCACTCTTTAGCTTGTCTTTTCTTCTTAAATGAGTCTTTCAGAGAGAAAAAGTTTATAATTTAATGAGGTCCAGTTTTTGTTTTATGTCTTGTGCTGAGTCTAAGACCTGCCTACCTTGTGGATCCTAAGATTTTCTCTTTTGTCTTTTTCTGAAAGTTTTATACTTTTGCATTTTACATTTAAGGACATGAAAGAAACATTTTGAGTTAATTTTGTAGAAGGTCTCAGATTTATATAAAGGTCTGTTATTTTGCCTTGGATGCCCACCATGTTTTTGAAAAGGCTGTCCCTCCTTTCTCTATCATATTACCTGCTGAGATTTCTCTTGAGATGGTGTTATATCTATAGATTAAATTGGAGATAATTAATAGCTTAACGATATTGCATATTCTGTTTGATGAACATGGTATATCTTTACATTTATTTAAGTTTGCTATAATTTTTCTCAGAATTCATTCTTAGTTTCTGGTATAAAAGTCTTTCACATATTTTATTCCGTTTATCTCTACATTTTTCATATTTCTTGATGCTGCCCTAAAAGATACTGTTTTCAAATTTTATTTTCCAGTTGTTTATCCATACATATGATTTTTTAATATTGCTGCATTCATGCATTAGTCCTCTAGTCTTCTGTAGATTCCTTAGGATTTTCTACACATGCTCATGTCAGGTAATAAGATACTTTTACTTTTTTCTTGCCAGTCCCTATTCCTTTTATTTGTTTTTCTTATTAATAAACTAGGACTTAACACCAGCATGACAGGGGATAAAATGGTAATAACAGGTGCATATGCCATTTCTCTGATCTTAAAAGGGACTTTTTTATACTAGTGTTAATTCTTTAAAAAATCATTGTATTGGCTTGGTGCCT